CGGAATATGGATAGCATTGAGTGTATGATTGCCATCGGAAAACGACCGGCGCTTGAAAACAGGGCTAAGCCTAGGATTTCGCAGCGAAACCCTATCGAGAGCTATGCTTTTGAAGGGTTTTATAATAGCGATAATAATCATAATAATTAGCTTGCTTCATTATTGTTTTGTTGTATTTATTTTTTAAATTTATTAGTAATTTGCAATCATCAGGGCTGTTTAAATGAAAATATTAGTAATTTAATTTTGTTTTTATAAATTAATAATATTTTAATTTAAAATATTTGTAACTCACATTAATAAATAAATAACATTATTAAATATTTCAATTAAATTGTCATTACAGTTTATTTTATTAATAAATTATTTTGGAAATGTGGCATTGACGGGATTGACTTTAAGACCCAGTCGGACCCAGTTAGACCCAGACCCAGTCAAAGCGAGAGAGCTCATTACTTTTTAATTATTATTAAATATTAAATTTTTATTAATTTTTTATAAAGAAACTAACATGTATTATAGTTTAAATTACTAATAATTTAATAATTATAAACTAAATTCTATTTAAATAGCTCTCTCACTTTAGTAATTTACCATTATATTCTCCATATGCCCTATGAGATTGAGAGAGCAATTTAAATAGAATTTAGTTTATAATTATTAAATTATTAGTAATTTAAACTATAATACATCTTAGTTTCTTTATAAAAAATTAATAAAAATTTAATATTTAATAATAATTAAAAATACTTCTGAAAGTACTTGGACTCCAACATAATATTTAAAGCAAATATTGTAATAAATATATTATTGATTTAATAAACAAATAGTCATCATATAAAATTGCAATTATATTTTTAAATATTTTTTAAATGTTACAAATTATACATGGTGATTATCTATTAATCCAAGTTACTTTTATTTGATAAATAATTATAAAAGAATTTGTTTTCATTAGATTTAAGATTCTCCAATACTAATTCCATGTTATAAGTGCTATTAACACGTTTTTTGATGTGTTTGTCATTTATTAATTGTATTAGCTTGGAGCAACTTGGTCTTTTATCGTAGCGATGGATAATCATTAATTGAAAAATTTCGACCAACATTTTTACATTATTAAATATCTTGGTCGCTCTATAATTTGCGAGTGAATCCTGACTATAAATAATATATTAATAATAAGTATAGTTAATGTATGGTATAGTTAATCTTATTGTATAATATAAGCAACATTAAAACATGTCAACTCTGCTTGCGTATAATTGTAGTAGTGTTAATCAGAGATTTAGTTGAAATATTTAAATACTTACTATAAAGGCATGTCAAACAATTCCTGTGCAATAACACCAAGGCTATAAATATCAGCTTTCTCGGTATAGTTTGAATCATGCATTTCTGGCGCCATGTATCTAAATGTCCCGACATTTTTCGTGTGACTCATAGAGGCTTCGTGAATAGTAGCCAACCCGAAATCACAGAGCTTTATAAACCTACCTGTCCTCGGTTTATCAGCAATCAAAATATTGTCGGGTTTGAGATCTCTGTGAATGATCGGTGGATTCAATTCATGCAAATACTGGACACATTCTAAGAGCTCGCGTAGCATTTCGTACGACACAAAGTACTCGCACAGATTGAGGGGCTGTCCCTTTTTGCGGCCAAATATTTGTGGTTTGATTGCGAGAATATTATTTAGACTTTGGGAACAGTATTCCATTTGTATGTTTAGGTAGTTTTCTTCGCACCACGAATTAAAGTATAAGACCACAAAGTCAGATCGCACCTTAGCCAAGCTAACCAATTCTCGTAGCGTTTCATCTTGATACTTGTTGTCAATTTCTGTTTATTATTAATAGTAAACAATTTTAAAAATTAATTATAATTTGGTTAATTAAAGTGTATACCTTTAATTGCAACACGTTTAATCGCATAGATATTACCATCATATTTGTGTTTTACTTTGATTACTGTACCAAAACCACCTTTCCCAATTTGTTCATCTTCTTTAAAAGTAGTTAAATAGTAGCCATCACCCGGATTATCCAACCCAGATTGACCAATCACTAGTTAATATTTCTTAAAATTAAATTTTGCTTAAATATACTATATAATTTAATTTTACTTGCTGATTGTTGGTTGATATAACAATTTTTCAATTTATTAGACTTTGAATCATGACATAAGAATAACGAATAAGGTACTAATCCATCATTGCTCATTCTAATTGTGTTAAAAGTAGCTTCGTACTCTTCGCAAAAATAGTCGAATATGTTCTGGGTGACTGTTTTCAAGCATTTATTTTCAATTAACTTGTATATAAATTTATTATCAATGATGGCGCCACCTGAAAACATTTCCATACTACCAGTAACGTTATCCCTAATATACTCGGGAATATCCTGATAACCAGTGCCGTATTTACCGCAAAAATAAATCTTCCCGGTGTTGGTAAGAAAATAGGTATTAAAAAAGTATGTACAAATTGCATGCACGTTCATTAAGTCGATCAAGGTCGGTTTATAATAATTTCGTTCAGTAGCCTCGTGACCCAACGTGTGATAGCTTGATAAACCCCAACTATACGCATACCCCTCCATGGTCAATGCAAACGTGGCGTACCTTGAGCAACTTACCCATTTTATATTGGATGTTGATTGAAAATTAATTATTTTTGGTATTAATATAACATGATCCTTATAATTATTGATTCCGACTTGGCCGTAATCATTTCGACCCCATCCGTATAATATACCTTGCGCAGTGAGCGCCATAC